ATTTGAAACAGCATTTCCCTGTGTATCCCTAGCTGTTCTGAAACTTGCTCTTCATACTTGAACTCACAGAGATCCACCTACCTCCCAAGAACTGGAATTAAAGGCATGTGCTGCCACTACCACCTAGCTGATGAGAAAACATACCTTGTTTTTCTTTCTGGGTCTGGGTTACCTCACTCAGGACTAATTTTTCTAGTTCCATCTATTTACCTGGGAATTTCATGATGTCATTGTTTTTTGTTTTACTACTGAGTAACAGTCCATGTAGATAGACCACATTTTCTTTATTCATTCTTCAGTTGGGGGGCATTTAGGTTGTTTCTAGGTTATGCTATTACAAATAATACCACTATGAACATAGTTGAGCAAGTATTCTTGTGGATTAATTGGGCATCCTTTGAGTCTATGCTCAAGAATAAGCCATAAGTTTTTAATTCTAGTTCTGCCAACTGTGTGTAGAAAGGAGTAGTTCCAGGAGCTGGGCAGAAAACGCCAGATTTCTTACCGACTATTAAGGTATGTGGAGTTTTTTTGGTGGGGAAAATTTAATCCTCTTTTGAGGCTAATCTCAAAGTTAAAACTGCCCCAAGTAGAAAAGACTAGTCTGACAATTTGCATATTCCCGTGGTCACCCCTCCAGATTCCGTTGTAGATATCTTCACTGGGGTCCCTCTTTGCCACACTGTGTCACACAATAGTAAATCAAAATATGAAACACAGCAAAACAAGACTAATTTTCAGTGTAAGCTAAAATGCCTGAGGTAGGCAGTCTTGGGCAGCTGGAAAGGCCCACACACTCTGGTCCTGTGGTGTCAGCACTTGGGGCCTGGGCGTGGGCCGCGCCTATTTTCCTAGTGACCAATCTAATTAGACTGTTAGTTCCCTTTCTCCTAAAGGCGTGGCGTAGAAGGCAGGGAGGTCATCCCGGGCTTGCATCAGAGGTGGCTGTGGAACAAAGCAAGCCTCCATGGGCCTTGTTAGAGCTCGCTAAAATGGAAAAACTCAGGAATAAAGGCTACGCATCCAAATTAATAAGATGACCACAACCCTTTTAACATCAGCACTTGAGTGGGTTCATCTAGTTCAAAACTACTTTCATTAAAGTAGCTTCTAACTGTTTAATCTCTGCTGGGTTTTTTGTTTTGTTTTGTTTCATATCAACATTTTTTGGTATGTCAGGGCCGCGTTGGATTTAAGGTTCTCCTGTCTCAGCCTTTCAAGTATTGCTTTAAAGGTGACACCACAGTCGGTTTTCACCGTTCACCTCTAAATTATTTTCCAAATAAGTATTTAAAGAATAAATACTACCGGGGCTGGAGAAATGGCCCAGCAGCCAACAGAGCTGTCTGCTCTTGCAGGGGACCTGAATTTGGTTCCCAGCACCCACATCACACAGCTCACAACTGGTAACTCACAGCTCATAACTCCAGCTCCAACGGATCCAGGGTCCTCTTCTGACTACTGCATGTAATGTAAGTACCCAAGTGCGCGCGTGCGCGCACACACACACCCACACCCACACACACACCCACATTAAAAAAAATGTTTTTTAAAGGAGTAGTTAACGATTTTGGTCTGAATTTCAAAACTTAACTCCACTAGATTACATGGGTGCCCCATGATCTCAGTTCAGTGTCTCCCCCCACTCCCTATCCCCCACCCCCGTTAAGTTTCAAACCTGGGACAAATGACTGAAGTATCTATTTAATATCAAAGCCAGACCTGGCTGCCAGGAACTCCCAGCACCCCTCAGACCCTACCTGTTACAGGGTATACACAGCTTGTATACCCCATCCTCCATCCTGAACTCTCCTGCCCAGGGCCTGGGCTGTACTTCCCCACAGAGGTTCTTCCCTATATCATACAGACATTTTGCTTACCCACCCCTTTTTATACCTTTGGCCTCCTGGCTGCTGCTGTTCCTGTTCCCTTTTCTCTTATCCTCCCCCTCTCCCACATGGCCAGCTCAGTCTGGTAGTGTCCACTCTGTATTCTCCCAGATGTCCCTGTCTCTGCCTGCGCTCTCCCACACATCCACAATAAACATTCTCGTCCACCACACGCAGGAGCAGCCATGTTCTTCATGTCCTTTCGTTTTCTTTTTCTCATCCCCACCCCCACCCCACCCCCGTAAGCCTTGTTCCTTCTCCGTCAGGATTGATTACATGCTTCTCTTCTCTTCCTTCTTGTCCATTTTGGCTACCATCCAGTATTCCTTTCCTTTCTTCCTTGCCAACTTTCTTACTGATGGACTGTAACCGTTCTACCCCACTGGCAAGCTAACACTATGAAAGGCCACATAACACACGGTAAGGGTGGCATTTTATGGCATATAGTCTTTCGCTGCATTCTGTGATGCTTCTGATATGACTGACATTTTGTGTATAGAGTTTTCCTGACATTCTTTTCCTCATATCATGATTTTATTTATTTATTTATTTATTTATGTTTTGTTTGTTTGTTTGTTTTGCTTTTCGAGACAGGGTTTCTCTGTAACTTTGGAGCCTGTCCTGGAACTAGCTCTGCTAGACCAGACTGACCTCGAACTCACAGAGATCCGTCTGCCTCTGCCTCCTAAGTGCTAGAATTAAAGGGGTGCACCACCACCGCCTGGCAATTTCGTTTTTCTTTTTGTTTGTACAAAAGTTGTGTTTACTCATTTCAGGTTCTCTACACTTTCCATGGCCCTTACCTGAAGTTTCACGAATGACTGCCTCAATGCCAAGGCGAACGAGTCTGCTATTGGGATCCTCCTTCTTCACAGAAAGTTTCTTAGTCAGCTATTCCTTGTACAATAACACATCTCTCATCAAAGTTATCACTTGCTCTAGATGTTCAGCTGGAATCTCCTCTTCGGCCCCACCTCTCTCCCTCCAGACCTCAGCCTCAGAAAGCCCACCAAGTGGCGGCTCCTCCCCTAAAGCTGAAGACCACGCCTACAGGGTATTTAAGAGCCTGCCCCCTAGGCCTGCCGCAGGATTTCTCTCCTGCTTCCTTTCCCTGAAAATAACCCCAGAGTTGCTTTGCTCATTAAATCTGGTTTTTTTAATTTGGCTTGATTTGACTTACTGTGTCAGTGGAGAAAGCCACAGCCAGGGATCCAAATACTTATAACTAATAATGTCTAGAATTCCTAGCAAGGGACTTTCCTAATAGTGACATTTTTTTTTCTCTTCACCAAATATTACCAACCAAAGTAGGAGGAGGATTCAAACACATGAGCTTGGGGGACATTTTAGAGTCAGATCATAGAGTCCTCTACTGCTGATCCAATTATGACTGTTTAGTCAATAAATGTGATGAATAAGGAAACTAAGCATGAAGACATTCCCTCCCCCAGGGACAAGGTCATCGAATAAATTTAGCTTTCTTAATAATTTGGTTTAACATTCTTTTTACTGAGTCAGCTTGCCTACAGCCAAGAGAATTTGCTTTTCATGCAAAAAAAATCTCTAGTATAAGGAAGTTGAATAAGTAATATTTTCCTGAATATACACATAATCTTAGGATGCTGAAGAAGGAAACCTCAACTGATGGAAATGTTGAGTGAGCACTGAACCAAAAAAGTCTTAGGTTCACTATCAAACTTACAAAGAAAAGCTAGGTTTTATTTTTATTTATTTTTCAAAATAAGGTTACTCTGTGTAGCTCTGACTGTCCTGGAACTTGCTCTGTAGATCAGGCTGGCCTCAAACTCAGAGATCTACTTGCCTCTCTCAGGAGTGCTGGAATTAAAGGTATGCATCACCACCACCTGGCAAGATAGGGTTTTAGCTCTTGTAGACCAGGCTGGTCTCAAACACACAGAGATCTGCCTGCCTCTGTCTCCCGAGTGCTGGGATTAAAGGCACGCACCACCACTGCTTGGCTAAGACAGGCTATTTTTAAAATGTGCTTTCTTAATTCCCAATGTTCTTCTTGTGTCTAAAAGACTTTTGGGGAGCAGTAATGAAGAGGATAATGGCTAATGCTTACTGGCATGGTCTCCTTTATTCTTCCTCACATCCTCTTGGGGTACAAAGACATTCTTATCTCTGACTCACCCATGGGGAAGTAGAGGTTTATAAACAGCAAGTGACTTGTACAGGAGTTACAGCCCAGTCCCTAGCCTGGTTCCAAAGCCATGCTCGTAGTTGTGAGGTTACAGGTATAGACTACTTCCAGGCAATTCTGGCTCTGTAATCGTGGAGCGCTGTTAACATTGTTATTACTAGCACATCCTGTCAACAGATCCTAATTTTTTTCTTTTTTTCTTTGCTGGCACGTCTTTCCAGTCGATGGTGTTCTTAGATTATACGGTGAACATTTTTCAGGATTTGGAAGCAGGATGAACTAATGGAGTGTTCCTCCCACGGATGTTCTGTAAAATGCAGGTAGGAGGTGTCCCCTGTGAGGCAAAGCCTCTTTATGCTCAAGCAATTGTAGAGAAGGCCTTGATCGTTGATCCCGGTGGAGAGGCTGCCTCCCTGAAATGGTGCTTGAGAAGGGATCCTGAGTGAGGAAGGCAGCTGTGGACACCATGGAGCTCCTTTCCCCGGGCTTTCCCCATGTTTACTTAGAGCTCCTGGTGAGCTCAGAGTGCTCTTGAGCAGTGGGAATGACTTGCGGCTGTAGGAGCTCATTTTCCTTCTCAGAGTTTACCTGTAGCTTTGTCCTTACACATTCCTGTTCTCACCTCACAGCCACTGACATGGAATAAAAAGAGTTCGTCTCTCAGTGCAGCTCCAAACTTTTCCCAAGCTCCAAATTATTACTATTATCCTTCATCTGACTTTTTCCTTTTTGAGACAGGGTCGCTCTAGGTATTTCTGGTATTCACTGTGTAGCTCAGGCTGGCCTTGAACTCCCAGTCGCCCACCAACTATTGAATGCCGGGGTGAAAGGCACGCGCTACCACACCTTCATTCAACATTCTCTGTTTGAATGGGGCCTGTGCAGCAGGAAAGAAGTTCCGGAAAAAGAAGAAATTTCGCAATTAAAATCTACTATGCAAACCAGAGCATTTTATAGATCTTTATTTGCTGAAGGTCATCACATAATTTATATAAGTAATGTATAAATATTTAGTGATTTCTATTTGGAAATAAAGCTGACTTTATTTTGAAAGAATCATGTGCCCCTTGGAATAAAAATAGGTGTGTATAATGATAAAAAAAAAGAGAATGGGGCCTGTGGACGGCCATGTGGTGTGGAGGCTGGACTAACCAGGAGATAGAAGTTGGTGGGAGAGACAGCTTTATTCAAGTCTGGACTTAGAGAAATGGGATAGAGGCTCTCCCAGAGCAAAGTGCCTTGGAAACAGGAAGCATCCGGGACTTTATATGATGGGTGAAAGATCGTGCACTTGAGACAAGCATTTACCCTCCAGGACAGCATCATCTTTGAAAGGTTTGTATGGCAGAGATCATCTCTATCTTTTCCTCTGAAAACCAGCTGCAGGGCTGATCCTCTTGGCCCCTGTTGGCATGCAGGTTTTGCAGGTGGAAAAACGTTGACAGGCAGAGGAACGAGAAAGTCTCATAAGTTTCGTTTCCTATGGTTTAGATCAGTCTGTTGTAAAGGCAAATGGTTAGTACGGGTTAGATTTGAGAAGAGGAGACAGGGTCAGCTGGGCTTTGTCTGCCTGACACGGCAGAGTCCAGCAAAGGACCAGCTGTGTCTGCACTGGTTCCTGTTTATAAACTCCTTTTCATTTTTCTCTCTGATTGAAATCTTCTTTGTTACATTCTTAAGTCCCATCAGAATTCCCATGAAGTTCTGCTTACAGCATTCTAGGACTTTCCTAGAAGGCTCTCCCTTCAAACTCTCCCAGATAAGTGCCAGAAACCAGTGCCAAACACTTGAGGACCAGCGCGTTAGTGACGGCAATGACCTCACTTCTCGTATTCCAATTTTCTATGTTAGTTACCCTTGCGATACTGTGACCAAAAAGCCTAAGAGAATTTTTTTTTTTTTTTTGCTGGGTTCAGTCCTTCCTCGATTGCAATACCCCATGTACTTGGGTCTTCACCTCCTGGTAGATAAGAAACAGAGAATGAAGAACGGACCAAGGAGCAGAATAACCATCAAAGACTTGCCTACGGGAAGCAACTTTCTCCAACAAACCTCACCTCCTAAAGTTTTCAGAGTATCTCTAAAGAACACCACTACTAGCTGGGGACCCCGTGCTCAACAAGTGAGCCTCTGGAGGAGACTTCATGGTTAATTCATCACATATTTCCACATAATTTTCTTTTAAATAAACGCATTAACATAGGAATAACTTTATAAGGCAACAGCTTCATTTATCTGAGATGTAGTATTGTTATCGGGTCAGTGAATGAATCCTGAAGTCTACAAACATATTTTCTTTTTTTTTTCTTATCTAAAAAGCCTGTTTGGAACACAAACTTTGTTGAAATTCTTGAAAATGTAATTTAGTATCATCAAAAGACAAAATTAACATTTGGTTTAAAGATTTTTTTTAAAAGATTGTTTACTATGTACACAATCTGCCTGCATGTACACCTGCATGGCAGAAGATGGTGTTAGATCTTAATACAGATGGTTAGCCACCATGTGGTTGCTGGGGATTGAACTCAGGAGTCTGGAAGCGCAGTCAGTGCTTTTAACCTCTGAGCCATCTCTCTAGCCCCAGTTTAAAGATCTTTAATTGGCTTCTGTTTCTGATTCTAAAATCAGGAGAAACTCCATTCCCCATGAAAGACTATGTGTTCTGGTGAACTGAGCAGAAAAAGAAAAATAAATAAATAAATATAGAAGGGTTTCTTAAAAACATCAGAAAGGGGGGGAGGAACTTGAACTTCCCACAGGGCAGGAAACCCTGACTGCTCTAGGGGATGGAGAGGGAGGAGGAGAGGGAGTGGGGGGAGTGGGAGGGTGTTGGAAGGAGGGGCTGAAATGGAAACTTTTATAATTTAATAAAAAAAATAAAATTAAATTAAAAAAATAAACATCAGAAACAAAAGCCAAAAGATGAGTGGAAATTTCTAAGCCATTTCCTTCTAAGGGAGGGATATGGAGACAGAACAATAGGAACCCAGCTGACTGAACATCAGGTTACCTCAGGTTACTTTGCTTTCTGCAGAGAGGAATGCTTTGAGAACTCCATTATCATGCCGACTGGAACCAGTCTGTTTGGAAACTGTGTTCTTTTTAAACCATATTTCTTGAAAGTTCAAACAGCAAATTAGTTCTGGTTTGGTGCACAGAGCTTAGGGATGGTGACTTTATTCCAGTTTTCAGACTGGTCTATTGATGCCAACTTAAGGAGATTAGCTCAAAATGATGTCCTATTATAATATTGATTTGATGGCACCCACATTAAACTTCAGCAATAAAAGATTTAAAGTGATGACAGTATCAGCTATGAATATTATTAATTTTCACTTACTCGAGATTGGAAACATTCATATTTTATAAGATAAAGTAACGTCATTATCTCAAGCTATAATATTTTCATATTAGTACTCACTGCAAAAAATTCAAAATAAATTAATAGTTTCAACATTTAGTACTGTTTCTTCAAATGCATGGTTATTTCCTAGATTTCCCTGATCCTCACATGATTAAAACTGTATAAATCTCTACACTCCTGCCTTCTGAAAGATGCTACTTGTCTTACATGCTGTGGGCAGTCTGAGGCCTTTCATAGACAGACCCTTTAAGGACTGGTAATGAAACAACTATTTAATTAATCATGCCTGCTTGCTGATATGTCCATAAGGTTCTCCAAACAACAGACTTCTAAGTGGTTTTTTAGTTCATTAACACATTGAAATGTAAAGAACGTGGCACACAGAGAGAAAGCGCAGCCCTGTGCCCAGCTGCCTTGGTGTTCCTCACGTGTCTCTTGCACTATATAATGATCTAATAAATGAAATTAAAGTATTGTCCCGAGGGGGAAAGAAAAAAGAATTGGTAATGAAAACCTTTTAAAGATATCCCTATAAGCCCCTAGAGAATATTGGTGGTTATGTTCTATTATGTGGAAACCAGAGACTCTCAGGGTGTAATTAAAGTTATCATTATGGTTTACAAAGATATTGACACTCCAATTAGTATGTGTGTGACCTTAGAAATAGCATCTTGGACTGGGCATGATGCTACACACATATAATCTCAGAATGTGGGAGGGTAACTCAGGACCCCAAGTTCAAAGCCAGTCTTAGCTCCACAGCAAGTTCAAGGTCACTGTGACAGTCATAGCAAGAGCCTGCTTTACGATGATGCTGTCTCCACCGCTATTAAATTTAATGCTCAAAGTCTTCTCTAGAGCAAAAGACAAGAAAAAGATATGAAAAAGATACTATGCTGTTTTGCCTTCACTGCCAACTTGAAGTGAAACAGTCATGAAAACCGCATCTGGGTACGTCTACGTGGGTACTTCCAGAAAGGTTGAACTAAGCAGCAATCTCCCCAGAGTTTGGGACGCACTATGCTGTGGGCTGGGGTCCTAGACTGAATGCCTCTGTTTGCTGACTGCAGATGCAGTGTAGCTGGATATTTCACACTCCTGCCACCATGCCTTCCCCACCATGATGGGCTGTATTCTCAAAGGATGAGCCAAACAAACTCCTCCTTCCACAAGTTGCTTTTGTCGCGTATTTGGTCACAGCAACAGTAGCAGCAAAGGTAACTAATATAGAATACAAATTGGAAAGAAAGACATCTAATTGTTCATTATTCGAAGATGGCTTGATCCTCTACTTAAAAAAAAATCCTTAAAGACTCCACCAGAAAACCCTTAGGCAGTTGTGCTTCAGGCAGGGGATTAATATCTAAGGTGTATAAAGAACTGCAAAAATTTAAGGACCAAAAGAATCACCCCAAATTAGTCGATCGGAAGATACACTAATGAACTGAGCAGGCAGCTTTACAGAGCAATACACGTGGCTCATAAACACTTGAAAAGGTGGTAAAGAGTCACAGCTGCCAGGAAAACGCAAATCCAAACTGCCTTGAGAGTTCATTTTACCTCAGGTGCTCTGGGTTCGAAATTCTGTTCAATTAAATCAGCCAAAACCAGAAAGAAATACCCCATGTCAGAGGCTGGACATGGCTCAGCAGTTAAGAGCACTTGCTACTCTTGCAGATGACCGGGGTTCTGTTCTCAGCACCCATATGGTGGCTCACAGCTGTTGTAGGAACCTTTATGGAATTCTGATACAGTGAGGAGAAACAAGAGAAGTCACCCGTGGACTGAAGCCAGATAGCTCCCAAAAGACCTCGAACGTGAGTCTAGTTTGTATTCTCATTTTCTCCTCTAAAACAACAAGGTGGAGTGGGCAAGCAAGCAATCTTACAGCTTCTTGACAGTCACCAGGCTGTTATGGGCAGTGGCCCATAGGCTCAGCTCTTTCTCCAGGCCATTCGGTTACAGGTAGCAAGTGAAGTCACGCTTAGCAAATAAGCAGTACAGTCTGTACTTTAAGTAAATAAACTTTCTAAATAAATCAGTCTCTAATAATTTTTTCCACCTTATTCTCCTTCACAGTCATCCTTCAGTCTAGTTCCAGGGAAGCAATGACCTCTTCTGATCTCATAGGCACCAGGTAAGGATGTGGTACCCAGACACATAAGCAAACAAAACATTCATACACATAAGATAAAAAAAGAACAAAAACAACTTTAAAGGCTGGATGCAGTAGTGGCATGCATCTTAAATCCCAGGCCTTGGGTGGCCAAGGCAGGCAGATCTCTGTGAGTTTGAGGTCAGCCTGGTTTATATAGTGAGCTCCAGACTAGCCAGGGCTACATAGTGAAACCTGTATAAGAAACAAACAAACAAAATATCACGTTTTTCTCCCATATGCAGAACGCTGGCTTAAAATTTTATGTGTCTATGGGTGTATGTCCATGTAATTACGTATTCACATGTGTGTGTTTGCAGGTCACAAAATGAGAAATAAGAGGGACCTGACAATCTTAAGAAAATGGGATAGGGTAACTGAATATACGAAATTGAAAAGTGGAAGGGATACTAACTGAAGGAAGAATGGAAACCCACTGGAAATGGGAAGATAAATGAGAAAAATAGTACAATGTGAAGATGCCATGATGAACCACATTTCCCTGTACGCTAACCTAAAAACTAATAAAAAAAATAGAAAGAAAGAAAGAAAGAAAGAAAGAAAGAAAGAAAGAAAGAAAGAAAGAACGGAAGGAAGGAAGGAAGGAAGAATAGAAAAACAAACTGGCACTTCTGCACTTGCCCACTCAGACCAGAGAGACTAGGGCTACATCTAGCTTCAATCAAGCTTCACACCTCACCTGCCTAAGCTACCTTCTGATTGGTTTAATCAAGAACTAAATGGCCAACGGCTAGGCAGGAGAGGATAGGTGGGACTTCCAGGCAAAGAGAGGAACTCTGGGAAGAATCTGAGAGAAGGGGAATTCACCAGCAAGAGGCTGAAGAAATCAGGCATATTGTATGGAGGAGAGGTAACCAGACCCATGGCAGAACATAGATGGATTAATTTAAGTTTTAAGAGCTAGTTAGGAATAAGCCTAAACTAAGGCCAAGTTTTCATACTTAATAAGAAGTCGTC